CTGGCAGGCTTGCAACTGGCACAGGCACTGTAGCCAGACTGTGCCCCTTTAAGGGCTCCGGGGCCGGGAGGGGGGCAGAAGAGTTTCCCTGGTTGTGCCCAGAGTGGCCACCAGGGCAAGCTGGGAAGGGCTAGCCTCCAACTGGTTCGAATTAAGTGGCTACACAGCCCTTAATTTGAACTACTTAATTCGAACTAGGCATTAGTCCTTGTAAAACGAGGTTTACCTAGTTCGAATTAAGCGCTCCGCTAGTTCAATTTGTTTGCATGTATAGATGCTATGAAAGTTAATTTGAACTAACGGCTGTTAGTTCGAATTCACTTTGTAATGTAGACATACCCTAACAGATACTGGATTAGACTGACTGCAGCTCTGCTCCAGTCTGGCAGTGCCTCTCTCCCTATTGGTGGTGTAAATCCAAGACTATATTTTTGCTGATTTTGAGCTTCTGGGAATCTTTAGTCTTGCACTGACAGCACAAAGATGTCTCTTTAAATATTCATTTTATTCTTGTTCTTTTCAGGAAAAAAAATTCGAAACTCTTTGAACCTGACTAGTACAGGATGTCAGCTGCCAATGACACCAGATTGAACTATGCCGTGTTCCTTCTTAGCGGGATACCTGGGCAGGAAGACGTCTATCTCTGGATCTCTGTTCCCTTCTGCTTCATGTATGTTATTTCAACGTTAGGTAATTCAGTCATTCTGTTCATTATAAAAACAGACCCAAGTCTCCATGAGCCCATGTACATTTTCCTTTCCATGTTGGCCCTCACAGACCTTGGCTATTTGATAGCCACCATGCCGACAATACTGGGCGTGTACTTGTTTAACTCCAGGGAGATCAACCTCAATGCCTGTTTAGCCCAGTTGTACTTCATTGCTGTGCTTCAAGGCACAGAATCTGCTGTGCTCTTATTGATGGCCATTGACCGCTTCATCGCCATCTGTAACCCTCTGAGATACGCTTCCATCTTAACCTTGCCGAGAGTAGCCAAGATGGGGCTGGTGAGTGTCCTAAGAGGAGTGACTCTAGTACTCCCACTGCCTTTTCTTCTGAAACGGTTCCAATACTGTCGAAACAATGTCCTCTCCAGTTCCTATTGCCTGCACCAGGACGTCATGAATTTGGCTTGTTCAGATGTCAGAATCAACAGCATCTATGGCTTGTTCATTAAAATCTTAACAATGGGGTTGGACGCTCTGCTCATCTTCCTGTCCTATGTGATGATCATCAAAACAGTGCTGAGCATCGCGTCCCGCATGGAAACCCTCACGGCCCTGAACACCTGCGTCTCCCACCTGTGTGCTGTCCTGCTCTTCTACACACCTGCCATCAGCATCTCTGTGATAAACAGATTTGGGAACAGTTCTTCTCCCTTGCTTCAGGTTCTCCTGGGCTACGTCTCGCTGCTGATCCCACCCCTGATGAACCCGATCGTGTACAGTGTGAAAAGCAAACACCTGTGCGCGAGGATCATCAAAGTGTTCATCAAGTGAAGGTGCCGCTCATCATCTGTCTCCAGTGCTCATGACACGGGAGGCAAAA